TAGCAATCTGTGGTGTACGTCGATAAACTTCAAGTTTTCCTTAAAGACAGACGAGGAAGGAACTTGTGAACTCAACAAGCACGATATCTCCGTAGTAAACGAAAACATTTATTTTGATGACCGCAATGGAGTCACTTTCTCACTTCTCCTGAGGGTAATTACTGTTTTAATGCATCCATTAGTTAAAGGCGTTATACAGAAGTTTTTATCTATCGCTGACTGAATTGAAACCAGTCATTTAACTATCATATTACATTACCAAACAAAACCTTCACTGTAAGCGAAAACGAAAAACGTAACTCGGTTGAGGCCTTACAAGTAAAAATTAAACATCAACTTCATAGTAATCCTCAGGTAATCAGATCGAAATACTATATGAATGTAGAATTCAAAAATTACTTAAAAGGTATCTTGCCCCAAGTTACTTTGTGAGCCAACTTTCACCTTTTCCTGATTATTCTGAATTTTTAGAACATAACTTCGCTAAAAATCGTACTGAGATTGAATATCTGAATTAGACTGTTTTGAATCCATTCCTTAATAGTTTCCGGCGTTATCCACTTTATCCTTTTTGAGACGGATAAATTAATATGGTTATTGTGCTAGAATCTGCCACTAATTCACTCCTTGTGGCGTAAGTTCTTGTGAAAGTTCAGTGAGGCATAATGGTGCATAATATTTGCAATTTCACAAATTTCAAATCGTTTCCCACATGATTTCCTTTTGTACGTTTGCCCCACTCTCAAAGACATCTGGTTTCGTACGTGCTGTGGTTTAAATTATAACAAATAAACAATGTGGAGCTTTTCTATTGAAATTGGAGAATTAAATTAGAAGAATATTTCCCTTTCATATATCATAAGTGACAAAGCTTTCATCTTTTTGTGTAAAGAGGCTCCCTCCATCATTAGTTTTGACAATTTCCCCGCATATTCAGCCATCCTGTCTTAAAGAGAAATTTTTCAAATGTTTAAACTCCTCTGCTTTTTTGTTTCAGTTTCTTTAAAAAAAGAATTTCTGTACTTTTATTTTATGGAAAAATTAAGACTCCCCTTCAAAGTAAATGAACTTGACTTTACTTGTCGACAGCTGTTCTGAGCTTATGTTAGTATGTTATTAGCATTTATTTTTCAGTCTCTTAAAAAAAAAAAAAAGGATTTCTCAACTAGTATAACGTGAAAATATTTAAAAATCCCCTGTGAAATAAACGGATTTCACTTTACTTGTCGACAGCTGTTCAGAACTTATGCTATGTTAAGGCGATCGATCTAAAATTGTCTGGACATTTTCCAACCATTAATGGACATCCTCTTGATATACGAATTTTAACGAAATCCTTCCAACTTCTTAATTACGACTTTCTCTTTACTCGTAAGAGCTGTACTACTTTTGGTAACTTCAAAATCGGAATCTCATTTTCCAAAGGAAGATAATTCAACAATCCCGAGGTTTTTTTTCGAAATAAGTGAAGTTGTCATCCTTTTCCGGCTGACTTCTCCTGGTGATGGACTT